CCCTCCCATCCACCCCGGGCCCGCGGCCTTTATCACACGCCAGATAGAATATAAAACAAACGGCCGTCTCCGGGCCGGGGAAGTCGTAAGTTCTCCCGGCCCTTCCACCCCCTCCCCTCCACCTCAAGTCGACTTCTGCTTCCTTCCTGCTTCACCGTAGGAAGCTGGCCGTATATTAGCCTCGGATACAACCTGGTCTCATTGTGCGCAAAGAGCCCCGCCCCGACCAAGGGGCCGCTCCCCTCAGCGGTGTAGGGCGCAAGAGGACACCTAGATATCTCTCTCTCTCTCTCTCTCTCTCTCTCTCACACACACACACACACACACACACACACCCTCTCACCCTCTCACTCACTCGCACTCACTCTCCCTCTCTCTTTCCTTCCCCCCTCTGGCTACGCCACACCGCGCCACACTACGCAATGCCCGCGCTACGACACGATTGTAGAATTACGATCTCAGTGCACACAGCTCCACCGCGCCACTCCCCTCCCCACCCGGCCACGCCGAGTTCGACAGCAGCGTTAATCATGTGTCGCCCAGGCCCCCTTTCCGTCAACAGAAATATCTTCATTTCGGGTGGAGAGCTCGCGCTGGTAAAAATGACCCCATGCTGCTGCCGCTGCTTGGTCACATGTTTTCTCCCCCTAACACTAAAAATGAACAACTTCGCGTCCAGGTGACTCCGCCCTACCCATCTCCGCCCACGCGCCCCCACAGCCACCTTCATGTCATTGTTCGCAGAATAATACAGCAAAACTTTCCCAACTGACTTAGCCAAATGGGATTATTATAATTTTTTTGGTACTACGACTAACTTTTTTTCATTCGTGTGGCCACGCCTAGCTAGCCAGACACTCCCCTCCAACGACGCCCTATACACCCCTCGTTTCTCCCTCTTCTTCCGACAACTGGACGGAAGAGCTCTCCAAAGTGCAGCATTTCGATTCAGTTCTATTCCATCCACAGACACAACACACACACACCCACATACACACACACACACACAGTCACGCGAGTGCACGCTTTCCCCTACGCAACCTATACGTACACACACAGCAACAGGCGTTAGTACTGAAGAGGCACAAACTGTCGAGACTGCTGCACTATAGAGCAGTCAGCAGACCAAAGCCATGCGGCTCTGTGGTGCAACAGAAAAAGGGGGGCAGAGAACGCGGAGACCGGAGCGAAATAAAATCGTATTGCAGAGGGTATGGGAGCAGGATGGATTCCGATATGGGTTGTCTCGGGCGAGCCGAACGCACCGCTATCACGCACGCGGGCTCTTCCCACAGGAGGGTGGGGCGGGGCGTGGCGGGGCGTGGCGCTAGGTTGGAAAGATAACAGCCGAACTAATTGATGGAGGCGATATGGCGCAATATGGCGAGACCAGGAAGGTGGGCGCGCACCTGATAAAACGCGCACCGAAACTGTACGAAACGGCAGAAATAACTCTCCTAGTTGCGTTAAATCTCTGTCCGACCTTTCTGACGCGGCATTACGAAAGCAAAAGATAAAATTCAGAGGTTGCATGGGCAATATGTGCAACACAAGTACAGCATGTGTCCTTGTAAACTGTCGACAGTTCTCTCAATTTTCAAACTAATTTTTAAACGTAAATGGGCAATTTACAACCAGCTTTCGAATTTTTGGTGGTCGACGACAACTCACGTGAAAAAAAATGCCAGAAAAATATACTTCTAACGATCAGAGTACGTAACTATTCCATGGAAAATTTGCCCGCATAACCTCAACAAACACTTTGGGAGCGGCATACCGCATCAAGTTCACGCCCTTCCAAGCAAGACGCTTGCCGCTTATCAGAACGTAACCTACAAACTGTAAATGTTGAATCACAGCACCGCCCCTCCCTCATTCTCCCACTACCGCCACTACTCACTACCCCCACCACCATCAGTCCCCAGCTACCATCACCTTACGCACACACACACACAGCCACCCGTCAACGCATCACAAAGACAAACCACGCACCGTCGTGGGGCCTTGCAATTCGCAAGGGTCACAGGGACGTGGCAGAGCGTAGTGCAAATACGAGCACGCAGTCCTCTCTCACACACACACACACGACGCCGAGAGCCCTTCCGACGACGATACAGAGCGAAAGCGAAGCGACGCGAGCACCGGACGAGACGGGCGATGACTGACGCACCGAGCGAGCGGGGAGGCTCGGGTACCGCTCTCTCTCTCTCTCTCTCTCTCTCTCTCTCTCTCTCTCTCTCTCTCTCCCTCCCTCCCGTACTCGCACCTCAAACACTCGAGTCCCACTGCGGGGACCGGGCCAGCCCGCTTGCGCGGCCGACCGCATAGGGGATTTTCAGAGAGAAGACAGAGAAAGATAAAGGGGAAACAGAAAGAGCGAGGTAGAGAGGGAAAAGGGGGAAATAGAGAGGGGAGGGGGTAGAGGTAGTGCTTGACGTTCAGGCTATCTACCGCCCGACTATCCTCACTGCGGCCGCGACCGGGGTCTTATCAGCTCCTTATCAAAACACACACACACACACACACACACGCGCCACGCCCTGTAAGCGTTGCAGTGCAAACAACCTGGGCAGGGCATGTCAGGGCGGAGCCCGATGCCATCATAACAGTGTCCGCCGGACCGCACACGTAAGTAAGAGAGAGACAGATGAATGGGAGGGGAAGGGATAGCTAGAGGGGGAAAGGGGGGGCGGGGGGAGTCACCAGCACGCCAGCCAGATCTGACAGTCAATCCCTCAAATATTGGAAGAGCAAAGCTCACTCGCTCTCATCGGCCCTTGGACGCATCCGCGGCGTTCGCCTCTCACAAGCGTCCCGACCTCGCTCTGAGCGTGAGAGAGACAGAGTGCAAAAAAGGGGAAAGGGGATGGGAAGATTCTGCGGAGGCAGCCACACTCCGGCGGCAGCGCTAGTCTATATCCCATTCCACCTGAGAGAGCGCCGCGAACAACTCCAATTCATGTTTGCTTTTTTTTCCTTGTTCCCCTTCCCTTTTACTTCTCCCCTCGACTTTCCTCCTTCGCGTCGCCAAAGCCTGCTGTGCCGCCCGCTGCCACCGTCGGGGGAAAATAATGTGGCCAAAGTTGATCTAATTCCGTCAACAATCCGCCGCGTCTCGGACCGAATAACGCAGCCTCCTGCTATCCGATATCGAACCCTTTCCCCCGCTAATAACCTGGCTGTGACCTCCAGCCTCCAGCTACCGCTGCGGATCTCTACACACACACATACACACACACACCTGCGACAGCCCTTGACCCAGAGTAACAACGAAGGAAGGGAAAGGGCTGAGCCTCTCAACCTGCTGCCGGTGCTGCCTCCCTTTTGCGTTGAATATTTTCCGCAACGTACATGTTGTATACAGAAAAAGTAGAAGTGGGAAAGTTTAAAGAATTTTGGAATGGTTACAAAAATTAAAAGACGTGTGCAAAATATGTGTCTATTTTTTTTCTGCCCAACCAGGTGACGGCGGCGGCGACTCTCGGTCGCTCCGAGCTGTTTGAACGTTGTTTGTTTTATAAGCAGGGGCCCAGGGGACGCGCCAGCGACGCTCGCATTTCATAACTTTCTCGCTAAAAATATCGTGATTTTTAACGGTGGGTTCGGATTGCGCAAGTCTCGCAGGGCCTGCCGCTACTGCTGCTGCTGCGCGATGTCTGCGACACCCTTTTTTTTTGTAATTACGTTTTATTCGGGACCGTAAAGCCCGTTAACTGCCAGACCCTTTGGCTCCCGCGGGAAGCTCTAAAGAAGCGAACGGCTACAAACCTTTCGAACGCGCATTGCTGCTGGCTCACTGTTTACATTGTGGACAGAGGGGAGGGGGCTCGCTACTGCCTTTGCGTGGTGTGTCTCTCTTTTCGCTCACAAAAGACGTTCTCATTACTTAATTATCGCTTCCCTTTCGACAAAAAGAAGGGAAAAGGTTGTCGGGGAAGACTCTAGGGGAAACGGAGGGGGGTGAGGAGAGCGGCAGAAAGGGATGGAGAGGGCGAGGAGGGGAAGGGAAGGGGGTGGAGTGAGGGGAAGGGGAGGGAGTGGAGTGAGCGTGGAGAGACACAGGAAGGAGGAGAGGGGCGGCCACCTTGCGTTCGCCAGAGCCA